TACCTGCTGACCAGGAGACGGAACTACGCTCTTCACTCGATCAGCTACAGGCCGTCATGGCTGTGTTCGCGCCTGTTTGCGCTCTCATCAGTTCGTCCTCTTATTCTCCCGTCGTTCGTTCATCATTTCATGTCTGATTCACACCGGCCATAGATTACCAACATGGGAAAGTACAACAAGAACGCGTCGGACTGTGAGGCAGTGATACACCTCGTCTGTCGGTCCACGGACGCTTGCTCCAATCGCTGCTTCTGATAGAGCATCCCCGCACAGTTTCTTTTCGGGCGACGCGCGCCCCATAGCCCCTTAGATCTCTCGTGCGCATGCGTGCCTCGCTATAGCACCGCAATCCGACAAGCATTTACGATAGGAACGACTACTCGCTAATAGACCGCTTCCCCACTTACCTCTACGTAGAACTGTATCCGAGTAGCATTTCCTTGCCTTCAGGTAGAATCCTGAATATCACCCCATGTATTATGTCCGAAATGTGTATCATACTGAATTCGATCCTTTAGAAATCGACACACTAGAGTATGTTCCTGCAGAGCGATGACGAGCGGGGCCCCCGAACCTTGTGAGTTGCCATGCATTGGATTGAATATTGATGGTCCAGACTGCTGGGACGCAGATCGTCTCGAAGACTGGCGAAAATCAGTATTACATGGCCACCGCCGAGACTCCGAGCTCGAGCGGCCTAACTCACGGGCCACGGCGAGCTATATCCAGCCGTGGACGTCTGCTGAGTCTCTGCGAGACGTGTAATACGGGATCGGAAAACTGGGACGGTTGCCTAGTCTAAGTGCGTCTTTGGATACCCCCCATTCCGCCGACCTGCAAGAATACTATGAGCATAGTGTGCGTAGTGTGCGTAGTGCACAGTACCCACAGGTCTTGGCTCATGGATTGGACAGAAATCGCCGAAGGTCCGGCAACATATTTCAATAAAAAATGCATGGGCCTGCATGGGCATGGACACACTGATCGCAATTCGGAGTGTCGTCAGTGCAAGATCATCCCGAAAAAAAATACCCTGGCTCCGAGTCGGACCGGCGTGGAATGGAGGAAGGGGCGGTGTTACGTCTGCATCAGAGATGAGATTCTAGATATCTTGGATGCTTGGTGGATGATGTACTTAGAACACAAGCACATCAAGAAAGGGGTGCCAGTGGGCAAAGGGGCGGGTTAGAGCAACTCCTGCACGCACGCGGCGACCTGGGCTTGAACGTTTTAGCGCCCGTGACACGTCTGTCATGTGACCGCGTCGCGTAGAGTTCGAACCGGAAGTTTCGACTTTGATTCAGTCTGTCGCTTTCTCAATAGCGGGCCATTGTCCTCTGTCCTCATTTTCCCCACTCACGACTTACGACCTGTATTCTCTTTTTGACTGTACAACCCACCCTATTTGGAGACCTCTTCACCGATATTCACGCCGACGACCGACAACGTCTACGACGACAACGACGCAGCCACGATGTCTGCCTTCCTCGACATGTACGAACCTCTCGACATCATCGGGAATGGATCTTTTGGTATCATACGAAAAGTGAGACGAAAGACTGATGGAGCTGTGAGTGATTTATTCTCGATTTTAGACGTCGGAATTTAACGTGTCGCTGTCTCGTCATAGATCCTTGCGCGCAAGGAACTCAACTTTGAACGGATGAGCGAGAGGGACCGCAAACAAATTGTAGCAGAAGTGTAAGTATACTAAGCTATACGTGTATCAAAGCCACTCACGTCCGTCTGTGTAGAAATATTTTGAAGGATTTGAACCACGAGCATATCGTTCGCTATCATGACAGATACGTCGACAGGGACGCTGGCATCCTCTATATTCTTATGGAATACTGCGGCGGCGGGGACCTTTCGACTGTCATCAAGCTTGCGCAGAAACACAACAGGCCGATCCCTGAGGACACTATTTGGAACTACTTTATGCAGATTCTACTCGCTCTACACCACTGCCACCATCCAAACGGCCACGGTCGGTCTGGCAGCAACGGATTGGAGAGCGAAGGAAAGGAGAAGAGAGCGCAGGTCTTGCATCGAGATTTGAAGCCTGACAACGGTGAGAGTCCTCCGGTCGATGTGTCGGATGTTCCCTAACTTGAGGTCTAGTCTTTTTGGACGAGAACAATACTGTGAAGCTAGGGGACTTTGGTCTGTCGAAAGCACTTGGGCAAGCGAGCTTTGCGAATACCTACGTCGGCGTAAGCTCTTGAGTTTTGATTATCTTGCCGTCATCTCACCGCCGATCCTCAGACACCTTATTACATGTCGCCCGAGCTGATGCAAGAGAAAGCGTACGATTCAAAGTCAGACATCTGGTCTCTTGGTTGTCTCATCTATGAACTGTGCGCGCTGAAGCCACCCTTTCACGAAGCTAAGACGCACTCAGAACTCAGTATATTTATTCGGTGAGGAACGCTGCACATATTTCTGCATCTTAGCAATGTTCAACAATAGTGCACGTACAGTAACGGTCGTATACCGCCTCTGCCGCGCGGATACAGCCAATCCCTGAATAGTGTCATCAAAGCGATGCTCAACCTGAATGTGAGCACTCTAAGACTCTTTCTGCGCTTGAACCGCGTATCAATGATAATATAGCCGGCTATGAGGCCCTCAGCAGCTCAGCTGCTGCAACACGAGCGTTTGGAACTGACTTTCAAAGTCTCAGAGACGCAGAAGATGTACGCCATTCCCCATCTTTCCTCTTATGTTTGCTAATCGGCTCCAACCAGGCTTACGACTGTCAAGTCACATAAGGCTGCTCTTCTGGAGAGGGAGCGTGAGCTCGTCTCTCGTGAAGCAGCACTTGCGACGCGAGAAGCAAATCAGAACATGGCTCTCGCTCAGAAGGACTCCGAGATCGCTGCCCTTCAGGGCCAAATCGCTGAGACGCAGGGCTCAGTCACTATGCAGATCCATCACGCTATCTCAAAGCGTGAGGAGGAGTTGCGCGTTGCTGTTCTGAAGCGAGAAGAAGAGGTTGCACAGGCTATGCAGAAGCGCGAAGACGAGGTCATGGACGCGGTCCGAAGACGAGAGGCTGAAATTGAGGATGCGTGGAGAAGAAGAGAGGCGGAAGTTCGGGAGGAGTGCGAGCATGAGGTCGAAGAACGGTGGAAGGAGGAATGGGAGAAGCTGGCGAAGATGAGGGAGGAGATCGAGCAGCGGATGAAGGTACTTGAGGAGGGCCAGAAGAAAGGTATAAGCCTGCGCCTCAGTGGTACCAAGAAGCTTGCTTCTGACTTGACCAAAGCGGCAGGCAAGAGGGAGAAGAATCCCCTGGAAGAAGTCAAGAATATCCTTGCGCCGCTCCAGCAGCTTACCAGGGACAACAAGCCTCATGAACAGACACCCCCCCGTTTCCCTCCTCATCGATCCGCATACGAGACCCCGATAAACCGCAATATCGGTAAAGCGCCCTTTCCCATGGCTTCCGCGATGAAGGGTGTCATCCTTACCGAGACGGGTGAGCCGCTCTCGACACCCACGCCTGCGGAACTGGCGAACCTATTTGTCGAGTCACCGAAGAACGACCACGATCTCGGGTTCGCAAAGATCTTCGATTTCGACAAGGAGGACTTGGATAGCGGAGACGAGGGGGAGAACAAAGCGCCGCCCGCTTCACCGTTGAAGCAGAAGGCGAAAACAGCGCTTGCTGCATCCAAGGCTTCAGCTGCAGGTGACTCACAGAGCACGAGGGCCGCGGGTCCAACAAGGCTCCGTCGTCCGTCGATTCGCTCGTCGTCGTCCCGGACCAACATACACGCAAGCTCGCAGGCATCTTCGTCTTCGTCATCTTCTTCCTCGTCATCATCCTCCGCGAAGCCGCAGAATACCGATTCGGGATCAAATACCGCCGCGGCTCCGCGCGCTGCTACACTCCCGCCACCTGTGTGGGACCTCGCTGATGAAGAGAATCTCCCGAGTCCGTTCCTGAAGCGGATTGACAGAGATCGCATCGCGGGTGGTGCGGGGGCGGCGAGCGTAAGCGGTACCAGCGCTAACGGACCTTCTGGGACACGTGTAAAGCGCCCGAGCGGTGGCAACCTTCTCAGGGCTGTCGCAGCGGCAAACAGCGCTGCAGCAACTTCTGGGCGCGCAAAGAATGCCGGTGGATCGGGCTCTACGACGAGTCGATCATCAATTGCCAACGCACGCAAGGCGACGGATGAAGCTAGGAAGGCTCTTTTGCGCGCATGATCCGGGTGCTCGTGGACCGCGTTCGCGTCTGGTGTGGATAGAAAAGTTATGGTCGGGACTTGTTTTCTATGTTATGTCCTCTCATGATCATGTTCTCGGGATCTCCTGTTTCATCTTCATCGCAACTTTGTATATTTATCCGCAATACGCATGTTTCTTCTATAACCCGCCCTTCAATTTGTTCTATACATGTTTTTATTCACTGCATTATTTCTGCACCGGACGGTGCGGTGTGCCTGATGTCAACCCCCAGAATTCGACATGCGTGGATGTCAGCAAGTCGCTCATTCCATGGTGGAGAAGATCCGTCAAACACCGGACATTGTCGAATGGGCTTGCCTCAATGTCTCGTACTAGACCAAGAGGGGATCATGCAGTTGCAGGTACGACCTCAAAAGCGATTACTGGATCGTCGGAGGCTCCGAAAGAGTAGTTGCACTTCATGGTCATTCCGCCCATGTCCCTGGCATAAACCCTCAATTTCCGGTGCATCGGAAATGGGCTTGGTCAACGAGCATTAGTAGATTCAGGGTGGTGGTAATGGAAATAGCAGCATGGAGCTCGAGCTCAAGCAGTAGTTGTTGCAAAAGGCCAGATTCACCGTTCAGACGCTCGAGACGCGTAAATTATCTTATCGGCAACAGTGGTCGAACAAATGACGTAGAGAGAGCCATTACAAGTGCTTACGCGGTGAACACAACAAGCTTAAGCTTATGGTCGAATAGCATGCAGCCGAGGCTTACAAAATGAATTTCCAAATGGCAAAAGTTCCTTTCGAATTGCTGTTCCGGTACGGGGAATCGAACCCCGAGCTGCCGCGATCATATGATTATGAAAGGCGGCAATGTTAGCCGTTACACCATACCGGAGTTATAAGACCCTAACAAATAATAACCTATATGTTGACATGCAAACAGAAACAGAAACGACGAATCGACATGTTATGGCGCCAAGCTGGCGAGGGGGATGGGGGCCCAGAGGACGACGACACCGCGCTATCGCACAGAATTATCAGAACTGAAGAATTCGGTTCCATTCGGTGCAGCGCGCGGCCAGCTGCAGTATTCCCGCTACCGAAGGGAGTGGGTCTTGGGGTACCAACTTTTCCAAAACTACTATGTTTTTGCTCGGTCGGTCCGACGGACAGGGCAAAAGACCCGCCGGGGACGTCATTTTTCCCCCGCTTTTCTGTTCGTCCAATAGCATCAGCGCCGCGTCGTCCGAGAGACAATCCCGGGAACCCCGGTCCATGTCCGACTCTTTGACATCCTTGTCGCTCTCGCCCACATCTCTCCATCGTTTGCTCTGCCATGGTACCACTTGCCGTCCACGGTGCTTTCGCGACGTCGCCACACCGAACATGGCTCCGTATGATAAATGAATTTCCGTGCGCTTCACGTTGCACTTGGGCCCAGCACTGTAGAGCGCCCTTGCGGCGTCGTTGATCCGCGCACGACTCGCGTCAAAGGTCGTCGTTTCCTAATACTTACTGTACGTTTACTGGCGTCTATAGACTCTCGTCCGCATCACTGGCTCTTAGGCGTACTTTCACGGAAAACGAAACAGAGCGCGCGGACAAAAGTCCGGTCTACCACGCAGCATCGTTGATACTCTTCTCATACATCTTTGTGTTATCACCATCGCGACATGTACGTGTCCAGTCGACTCCTCCTACCTTGCCATGTTACCCACACATAGCACAAATGAAAAAAGGGACGGTAGCGGGCTCTGCCGTTTACCGGCCTTACTGACTTATTGTTACAGTGTCAAGAAAAGCCAGAAATACCAGCCGTCAAACCACACCCTAATTGCCATTTTGAGCGGGGTGCTTCGCTGTTCTGGCCTAGGATTCCTGGAGGATATCATTGTTCAAGTTCCCTCTTCCAGTTGCATTCACCTCTTTTCCTCCATCCTTGAACGCTAACAGGCTGTTGTGTTGTACGTTTCTCGAACGACATGGTTATTCTGCAGTGGTCGCGCTCATGACCGTCCGCTGTGTTGTAATTATAAGTAAGCAGCTCGGAGTCGCGACGGGTGGGGCGCCTGTCAACATTCCTTGATGCCACGGCCAAATCACAGTGTTCGTCGTCTCCTTCAGGTTGTTGCGCTCTTCTCTTGTCCTTGAATCATCAGCAGATAGGTCTAGTAAAAGCCATGCTAGCAGGCTTCGTAGGTGTTCGGGCCTAGCCGAGAAACCACATCTCAAGGTTAGGTGCTGTGGCCGATACTGCAATCGACTCGATTTGCCAAAATTTGAGACTTGCATCCGCCGTCGGCCATCTCTTATCCATCCACCCCCTCAAAACTCGCATAAGGACGAGGTGCGGCGTACGCGAAATATACTATGTTCACTTGCAGACTTTTGACCCGCAGACATGTTGGTCCTCTCCGGGCCCTCTGCGCTCTCCGCGGCAAAACGCGACATCCTTCTTACCCATGTTCAGCAACGCTGCGCGGATGTCCGTTCCATCGATGCCGTGTTCACTCATCTAGTCAGCTCCAAGTCTGATGCTGCCGAGAAAGAGCTGTCGCAGCCCGAATCTGCCACGCGCGCGATCCTCAACACGCTTCTCGCTTATGGCGATGATCTCAGGCTTCCCGGGACCGCAGAAGCGATCGCAAGTGGATCGGGTGTCGTGTACGTCGTCCCAAGGCCGGGCTCTGTATCTCCATGGTCTAGCAAGGCCACGGACATTGCGGGTCTCTGCAATCTTGATGAACATGTCGAACGTCTCGAGCGCGGACTAGCGTACGTCGTGACGAAGGGGAACGGCGCTCCTCTGAAGCAAGAAGACCTCGATGCGTTCGCTCCCCTCATCCATGACCGCATGACTCAGATCGCGCAGCTCTCTCTTCCCCCACAAGACGCGATCTTTCGTCACAGCGCCCCGCGACCGCTCAGGACCGTTGACCTGAAGGGTGACTCCGCGTCCCCTCGCGAACGCCTCGAGCGCGCAAACAAGGACCTCGGTCTCGCCCTTGCCTCGGACGAAATCGACTACCTTGTGGATGCCTTCGTTTCTGGTGCTGCACCCATCGACCGCAGCCCCACGGATGCCGAGCTCTTCATGTTCGCGCAAGTCAACTCCGAGCACTGCAGACACAAGATCTTCAACGCGTCTTGGACGATCAACGGTAGCGCGCAAGACTCATCTCTCTTCCACATGATCCGCAACACCGAGAAGCTGAACGGACACGGCACGGTCTCTGCCTACTCTGACAACGCCGCCGTCTTCGAGGGCCACACCGCGCCCCGCTTTGGTATCGCTACCGCGTCGGCGGATGCCCCCAATCCCAACCTCGAGAATCTCTACCAAGCTGCAGAAGAGCCGATGCACGTTCTCATCAAGGTCGAGACACATAACCACCCGACCGCTGTCTCACCTTTCCCTGGCGCCGCCACTGGCTCTGGTGGCGAAATTCGCGACGAAGGCGCCGTCGGCCGCGGCTCCAAGCCCAAAGCCGGCCTTGCGGGCTTTACGGTCTCGAACCTGCTCATCCCGGGCTACGAGCAGCCCTGGGAGACGGACTTTGGCAAGCCCGCGCACATCGCGTCTGCGCTCGACATCATGCTCGAGGGGCCCCTCGGCGCCAGCGCGTTTAATAACGAATTCGGACGACCTGCCCTCGGCGGCTACTTCCGCACGTTCGCGGAGAGCGTCCCTGTCTCAGCGGATGGGCGCCGCGAGGTGCGTGGGTACCACAAGCCAATCATGATTGCGGGTGGCCTGGGCAATGTGCGTCCCCAGTTCGCACACAAGAGCAAGATCGCGCCAGGCGCAAAGATCGTCGTGCTCGGGGGCCCTGGCATGCTCATCGGGCTTGGGGGCGGCGCGGCGTCCAGCCAGTCGCTGGGCACAGGATCTGCAGATCTCGATTTTGCATCGGTGCAGAGGGAGAACGCGGAGATGCAGCGGCGGTGCCAGCAGGTGCTCGACGCCTGCGTCAATCTGGGCGATGCGAACCCGATCCAATCGGTGCACGACGTGGGCGCGGGCGGGCTGTCGAACGCGCTGCCTGAGCTTGTCCACGACTCGGGCCTCGGCGCGACGTTCGAGATCCGCGACGTGCCCGTGGCCGATTCGTCCCTGTCGCCGATGGAGATCTGGTGCAACGAGTCCCAGGAGCGCTATGTGCTTGCTATTTCGCCGGAACAGGAACCCGAATTCAGAGCTCTTGCTGAGCGCGAGCGCTGTCCCTTCGGTATCGTCGGCACTGCAACGAGCGAGGAAGAGCTCATCGTGACGGATCGCCTACTCAAGCAGGACGTTATCAACCTCAAAATGTCCACTCTCTTCGGAAAACCGCCCCGCATGACTCGCACCGACACGACCACCGCACCTCACCGCATCCCCTTTGATGCGTCCCTGGCGAAATACCTCCCCGCATCGTTCCTGCCCTCCGAGCGCCTCTCCGTCGCCGCGTCGCGCGTCCTGCGCCTGCCCTCGGTCGGCTCCAAGTCCTTCCTCATCACCATCGGCGACCGCAGCATCACCGGCCTCGTCACGCGCGACCAGATGGTCGGGCCGTGGCAGGTGCCCGTCGCGGACGTCGCGGTGACGCGCACGAGCTACGGCTTCAAGGTGCCCCACGGCGAGGCGATGGCCATGGGCGAGCGCACGCCCGTCGCACTGCTCTCCGCGGCTGCGTCTGCACGTATGGCGGTCGGCGAGGCGCTCACGAACCTCGCGGCGGCGCGCGTCGACGACCTCAAGCGCGTGAAGCTGAGCGCGAATTGGATGTGCGCGGCCAGCAGGCAGGGCGAGGGCGCGGGGCTGTACGCAGCGGTGCGCGCGGTCGGTATGGAGTTGTGCCCTGCGCTAGGTGTCGGTATTCCTGTGGGCAAGGACTCGATGTCGATGGCGATGCGTTGGCAGGAGCGTGGTGAGGCGAGGGAGGTTAGTGCGCCGCTGTCGCTCATTGTTACTGCCTTTGCGGGCGTCACCGACGTTGGCGCGACGTGGACGCCGCAGTTACGCACGGATGTCGGCGCGCGGACAGTTTTGGTGTTCTTGGATCTGGCACAGGGCAAACAGAGGCTTGGTGGATCCGCTCTTGCGCAGGTGTTCAAGGAGATCGGAAACGAGGCGCCGGACGTGGATGACCCGCATGTGCTCAAGGCGTTCTTCAACGCGTGCCAAAGCGTCCGAAGGGACCATCCGGAACTAGTGCTTGCGTACCACGACCGCTCCGACGGCGGCTTGTTCACGACGGTCGCGGAGATGGCATTTGCAGGGCGCGTGGGTGTGCAGCTGACGATCGATTCGCTCTCGAGGGGCTCGCAGAACCCCGCGCAGGCGCTGTTCAACGAGGAGCTGGGCGCGGTGGTCCAGATCCGGGAGACAGACCTGCAGACCTTGGTCAACGCCTTCGTGAAGGAGGGCTTCCCCTCGTCGTCTGTCCACGTTATCGGCAGCGTCAACGCGGACGCTCACGACCAGTCGTTCTCCATCGTCGACCACAGCACACCCATCTACCTCAGCACCCGGCAGGAGTTACAGACCGCCTGGTCCGAGACGTCTTACAAGATGCAGACGCTGCGCGACGATCCAACCTGCGCAGCCGAAGAATTTGCCCTGATCTCCGACACCAAGCACAGCGGACTCTCCTACCACGTCACATTCACCTACTCGCCCGCGCGCTCGCTCTTCCGGCGGCCCAAGGTCGCCATCCTGCGCGAGCAGGGCGTCAACGGGCACATCGAGATGGCGTGGGCGTTCACCGCAGCAGGCTTCGACGCCGTGGACGTGCACATGTCCGACATCGTCGCGGGGCGCGCGGACCTGGACTCGTTCCGCGGGCTCGCCGCGTGCGGCGGGTTCTCGTACGGCGACGTGCTCGGCGCGGGCAAGGGCTGGGCGCACTCCGC